AATATATGGAACACATTTAAATTGAACTAAGAAAAGAGAAGCATTTTTTAGGAGAGGACTAGAGGTATGATAACATGCAATATCAAAGGCAAGATTCCATTGGTTTGGAGGTTCCTTTCGCCCTAATATTGTGATAATTTTCGAACCCCGTATAAGTGGTGTTTCCCCAAGCACAGTGAATCGCAACAAGCTCTTTATTAACAATATGACAGTTTTTAACCAATTGGCAAAAATTGATGAAAACCCTAAACAATTCTGGTTTATATCGAACAAAATAAATCCAAATAATTTTTATAGTGATAATAGAAACGAATATGCAATTGAGAATCATTAAATAGATGAAGGGAATGCATTTAAACATCACCACAAACGAGTTCAAGAGGAGCATAAGCATGAAAAGTTGAAAGTGAAAAGTGAAGTTTTTTAATTTTAGTAACGAAACACCCATGATACAAAGAAGGAGAACTAGAAGCAAACTTTATTTGATGATTACTAAGGACAGGTTTAATAGCATGCAAATTGGTATGTCCAAATCATTGATGCCAAACATTAAGCGACACAACAAAGGCTTGAGGAGCAAGACAACGTGAGATATCCAAATGTAGAGAGTAGAGCCATCAACAAGAAAACCATGATACAACTCAGTCATGGTATGACATCCTAGATTACAAAGGAAGAGCAAAAAATTAACTAGTGATGGGGTTGGCTCTAACGAGAGAACTAATCTACTACAAAACCATGATACAACTCAGTCATGGTATGCCATCCCTAGATGACAAAGGAAGAGCAAAAAATTCAACAGTGATGGGGTTGACTCTAACGAGAGAACTAAGGGTTCATTTGGAAGTTGCGATTGTTTATGCGAGATTGTTACTAAGTAGTTTGGTTTTGGTGATAGTTAAATAGATGGATTGTTATCAATGCATGCATAATGATACACATGTATATAAGAAAATTGATGTATTTTAGTTTACATAGTTTGGTTTCTGTGATAGTTGTTCTAGTATTTAAATAAGAGATATTACTTTTTGGATGAAATTTCACTTTTACCTTTTGTTTTTAATATAAAAAATAAAAAAAACATCAAAAGGTAGGGACATAATTGGAAGTAGAAAACACTCCAACAATCTCAAACAAACAATCTCACAAAAACTTGAGATATTACTATCACTCATTTTGAGTGATAGTTTCCATCACATCAAGCAAACAATGCATGTATAGTTTGTGCAAAAAAATTTAAAAAAAATAATGCACTGTGGACAATGCATGCATTGTAACTATCCCAACCAAGCAATCAGCAAAACCAAACAACCTAAACTTGTATTGTTCAGAATGCATCATTTTTTTATGTTTTAGCAAACACAATACATGGATTGTTTCTATGATGTGACAGACTATCACTCATAATGAGTGATTGTTATATCTTTAGCTTTTAGCCGAGATTGTTGGATAGTCGAGTTGAGATTATTTTGTCTCAACTATTAGCTAATGTGACATTCACAATCACACATACCAAACACTGTATTTTACAATGCATCAAATTCATCAATCATGTATAATATTATACATGTATTCACAGCAATACATCTATCTAACAATCAAAACTTCCAATTGACCCCTAATAAAAAAATAAATTATAAGGATCATCTCTTACATTAAGGATATTATTGAGCGAAAGAGAAAAATTAGAAAGGTAGGCTTGATAAGAGCCAAAGTGAGAGTTTGGAAGAGTTTTACCTTTTTCACAAGTGAATTGATCAGTTTCCTTTTATTCTTAATGATGAACAAGATTATTGAGACCCGACGTTAGTTGATGATTTGTGTCAAAGTCTAGAACCCACTATTGATGGCTAAAAGGTTAGATTATAAATAAGGCTAGATGAGAATGTAAGCCGTAAGAGGATTTTTGGGTGTATATGTGACTGAAAATTTGGTCTAATGTTGCCACGACCACAACAATTATAACAAATAACACCTGATGGGTGAAAGAGCCAAGCTCCAAGAAGATCCACAAAATTTGCGGACTTGCCAAAAGAAATAGAAAACATGAAGATTAGGGTGAGAGAATCCACCACATATTCAGAAGGTGAAAGAGTGATCCAAAAATTACCAACTGACCGCGCTCATACCAGGAAAAGTATGCAGGGTTAGGTTGACAACAATGAATTATGGAAGTCCCGACCAATCCTAGAAATTAAGAGCATAATTAGATACTTATCTAGTACACGATTTAACATAAATAGAAGATTTCAATTTGATTTCTCTATTAGTTATCATGCCCCTGCAGTTGAAGCCTCAGAGAGGCAAAACTTGACCCACGACCATGGCCGCTGAAGGTGAATTCTCTTCATTGAACTCAAACGATTCCTTTGCTTTTTTGATGCTATTTCTTTCTCTTTTCCTTGCCGCTCTATATTTTTCTTTCTTGTTTTACAATTTGAAACACTCCATAAATTCATCTACCTTTATTGGTTATATTTCTTCATTTATTCATCTTCTTATGTATCTTCTGACCAATCCTTAGTTAACGGTGGTGCTCACTTTGATGAATCTTCTTCCGTACCACCGCGATTCTTCGATTCACAAACTAATCTAGTGTACGCTGCCTGGTATAAGCGTGATCAGTTGGTGCTTTCTTTGATCACTCTTTCACTTCCTGAATGTGTCATGTCAAACATCATAAATCTTTCATGTTAAGCATGGAGTTCTTTAGCCCGCACCCATGCCTCTGGTTTGAAAATTCATTTCCGAAAAGTTAGGACCTAACTCAATCACCTTGCTTGAGGCGACAATGGCATTCATAACTATCTTCGACATGACAAAGCTATTGTTGGTCAACTGGTTGTTCTTGGCGGTGCAGCTACTAAAGATAAATTCATTAGAACCATTAACGATGGCTTATATGAGCCTTAATGCTCATTTTCTTGTCACATGAAATCCCAACAAAACTCCGTTTCTTCCAAAGATATGCACTCTATTGCTGAGAAAGAGATTCAATTGAAGAAGTACCTCCAGAGTCTAGGCTGATGCATCTCCAACGAATTTATGCTCTCACAATGATGTTGCAGAATGTGGACCCCATTTCAAGTCGTATTCCAATGAAAACTTAGGTTTATTATTACTTCACGCTAAAATACTATCTAATCAATCGAGATTGTTTGATTTACAAAGACGAATTAAACTAACTAAACTAAAAAGAACAACCAACTAAGTAGTTGAGAGGTCGATAGAGATGATATAGTTACTTAGGATTGAATCATTTTACTCGTAGGATGATTATGTGGTTGATGCAAGGCTTAGCACGAATTTCCTATCTTATAAGTTGAGAGAAAACACTTAGTCTAGTGGTTTGTGCAATGAGCATGTCTCCCACCCACACTTCTAGGCGCGTAACCTAACACAATGATCATGCAACTAGCTAGGAACCTAGAGCATTAAGTTAAAACTCTCAATTGAGATTGATCACTATGCAAATGGTAATTTGAATCAATGATCATGTAATCCAAAGTACACAATACTTGAAGTGTGTTCTAATCTTTGCTTAAGGGGATGATCAACTCAACTTAGGTCAAGAACAAATCAATAACCACCTCTGTCGAAGTAAGAGATGGACAAGATTGAACGTCAAATAAACATAGATATATATGAATCATGGCTAGGTTTACATTCAATCAACCAAGGGAGTTGGGCTAGCAATGATTGTGTAAGAGTTGGACGGAAAAAATACTCTATGCCTAGATGGAAAAGGAATTATGGAGCCCGAAGATAGCCAAGGGGAGAGCGATCATGTTTGCCCGTTGAATGATGTTTGCCCTTTCAAAGTTGAATAGGAATGCATAAGATTGATCAACTTGCTTCAAAAGGCAGAGATGGATTTGACAGATTCAGGGGCGGAGGGAGTGTAATGGTAGGGTGTTTTAGGGCACACCCTTAGATTGGAACAATAACAATATTAAGAGAAGGTATATATTGACAATAATTAATATCATATATTTAAATTATCTTCAGTTATATAGATTAAAACATAGTTTGCACATAAACAAAATCAAATCAAAACCACATGCAAATAACTCAATATTTAAATCTCCAGTTTTTAGATAATTGTTAGCTCCAATGTGTGATGACTCTTATTCTCTCATAATAACACTATGTCAATTTATTGAGGTTAGTATCTAATTATCCTCAAACAGGTTGCTAAGTTGCGTGCCTCTGCCATCTCATTCTAAACGTCGTTCCTCGACTATCCATGATCACTTGAACGACTTTAACAACATAATTTGAATGATTAACAATTCCATATTTGCGCCCTCTGTCGTTGCTAAAAATAATAATAATTCCGCCTAGAATGTACTATTTGTTCAATTAAAGAAATTGAATGTATAGAAACATATATTTTTATCTGGTGTTTCTCATACCAAATAAATCTGATCGAGTAAGTATAGTCCAATTTAACTAATGTAACGTAATTGTTAACCCAAGTAAGGGGTTGAGCCTTGACATGGGCAGAGTCTGAGGATGTTGGGCGAGAAAATGCCCACAACAGATGGTCATTTGGACGGAGCCTTAAGACTAGCTTGGACTAAAGCAAAGCTCATTCACTAAGGGGCCTCAGCCCGGCCCACGTTCAAGCAGCTTGTCTTTTGAATATTAGCATCGACGATCACAATAGGATGAAAAGACGGTACTGTCATCGAACAGCAGGCGGCATTTGGGAGCGACGATGCGTCGCCAGGCGAAGCGGAAGAATCCTACTTACGGCGTTCCTCTTGCCTTCGCTTATGGTTATGCTCACAATCTCTTCCTGCCATTGTTAGCGAGCAGACGCTCCGTTTCTCTGCATCTGTTACTTTAAAGCCTCGTAACCAGGTTGTAAATCTCGGCTTCCCTGTTGTTGGCGGCCGTGTGCAATTTTCCCACACCACCTTGTTTCCTGGCTCCGGATTGTAGGGACGGGTTTCTGTTGCTTTTGCTTGTTGGTTCCTTTCTCCATCTTGGTAGCTATGGCTGCCTGGCATGTAAGGACGGCGGTACAAATGGGGAAAATTAGTGAAGTTCAAGTGTTTGTGTATTTGCCTCAGAGAACGAGGTGCCCAGAAAGCAGTTGGACGGCGTGGTTGCAGAGCAGATATATGACTTCGAGCAAGCGAGTTCAAGACAGAAGCAGGATGAAAAGGGTACACGATCTGGAAATAGTGACGGAGAAGTGGAAAATTGCCTCCAAAGTGATGGCAGTCATGGAGTTGCTGAAGCAGGAGCCAGAGATGATCATCCCGGTCAGGAACCTTGAGCAGCATCGCCAGCGGCTTAATCTACCTAAGCCCAACAGAATTTCTGATTTTCTCCGCAAGTCCCCCAAGCTTTTTGAATTGTACAAGGATCAGCGAGGGCTGACGTGGTGTGGAATGACAAAACAAGCCGAGGATTTAGTGGCGGAACATGATAAGCTAATTGAAGAGCACTCGGTTAAAGCCGCAGAGTATGTCACTAGGTGTCTGATGATGTCTGGTGATAAGAGGCTGCCACTGGACAAAATTGCTACCTTCAGAAGAGATTTTGGTTTGCAGATTGATTTTAGGGCCGATTGGGTACACAGGTTTCCAGACCTTTTTCGGGTTAAAAAGTCTGCTGATGGGGTTGACTATTTGGAGCTTGTGTCGTGGAACCCAGCTTGGGCTGTCACTGAGTTAGAGAAGAAGGTGTTGGGATTAACTGAAGCAAATGATCACAAGCCTGGGGTGCTCTCCTTGGCATTTCCTCTGAAATTTCCTACCGGTTTCAAGAAGGTGTACAGGATTGGAGGGAAGCTTGAGCACTTCCAGAAAATGCCCTATCTGTCACCGTACGCAGATGCTAAGGAGCTTACAGCTGGGTCTCGAGAATTTGACAAGAGGGCAGTGGCTATAATGCATGAGCTACTTAGCTTCACTGTTGAGAAGAGGCTGGTGACGGATTACCTTACTCACTTCCGTAGGGAATTTGTAATGCCACAAAAGCTGATGAGACTTCTGTTGAAGCATTTTGGAATTTTCTATGTGTCCGAGAGAGGTAAAAGGTTCAGTGTATTCTTGACTGAAGCATATGATGGGCAAGAGCTGATTGAGAAGTGCCCATTGGTTCTTTGGAAAGAAAAGCTCTTAAGTATTGTTGGTTACAGAGGAAAGAAGAGGAAGGTCCGTACTTTCAGCGACTCATCAGACATGGAGACTGCTGATACAAAGGAAATTGACTCTGAAAATGAAAACAAGGACATCCAATTTGATGAAGAAGAGGTATTGGATGGTCCGGAGCACACTTTGCTTGCACAAGATCAAGTGATGGAAGTGGGGGAGGTTGTCAGTGCATACATGGATTCTGATGCTTCTTAAACCTAGTGACACTGAGTTGTTGGGAGCTGTGGATTTCACTTAGCTAGATGGTGCTTGTTAACAGGTATTGCTCACCAATGACTGACCTTCATTCTGTTTTTCATCAAGTTGATGCGGAACCTATAGATAATTTGCTTCTTCACTGTGAATTTTCATAGCAGTTGGGGCGCAGAGCTCCTCATCCATGGACTATTCCCAGGAAATGTCCTTGTTATGGTCTCCAATCTTCTTTTGACTAATAGAGGGTCACTAATCTACTAAAGTAGGGCTCTAGTGGTATGTTTCAGTATTCCTGGTCAGAATGAAACATCAGAAGCTTCTTGATAAGCATTGTTGCGCCATGCTGATCAGTAAGGTCAGTTTCTCGGCTGTTTATTGGTGGATGCAAATGACAGGTTGCGTCAGGAAGAATCTTGTAGATGGCTCCATAATTTGCTTCCTGTTCGTTAGGTAAAAGCTCGTGGAGATGTTTCCTAGTCAACCATTGCTAGAGTTTAGCACGGGGCACTTGATACCTTCAAAATGACTTTTGTTGAAGATCACAGGCAACTGGTGAGATGCTTATCTGTCTATGTTTAGAATGTTCTTTCCGTGTAACTATGCAATAAACATATAGTTGAGTTAAGATGGTTTGAATTTATCATGCATCCATTAAACTTTGATGTTTCATTTGCAAGAACATTGGTAGTCTTGGATGTTTAAGCTCAATTTATGAACTTTGATGTTTCATTTGCAAGAACATTGGTGACCTTTCTTACTTAAATATTACGCAGTTGTGCGACTTTAGGATGATCCAACACTATAGAAGGGTCACACAGCTTGGACTGGTGTGAAACTGGCTACAAAATTGGAATCCTGTATCACTCCTGTACAAATCTTCTTATGTCGCTTGGGGCAAAACTTCCTACGTTCAAGTGGGTTGAAGACTCTGGCAGAGGAATATCCGATGGTTTGAAATATTGAGTTGGCCATTTACTGTATACCTGTTCAGTGTGGACAAACGTGAACAAAAATCAATATCAATTCATTAGTCAATCACTATCACTTTAAAAAACACAAATATTATAACAGAAATAAATCAATACCATCATAAAAAACAATATCATTACACTAAAACTATCATTATAAACAATCTATGTCATTACAAAAGTCAAACCAATATCACTATTACTGTGAAAGCAAATCAATATCATTTCATAAATGAATCAATACCATTAGAACGAACACGGTGGTGTCACGGAGAAGAAGGGATGCGTTGGGGCTGATTTAGGAGTGACGGTGGGAGGTTGGTGCGTCAGGGGTTGTTGGTTGGGGTACGGCAGAGAGAGGGAGCCAGGAAGGGAGGAGGGACGACTACTATAGAGTAATCAAATGTTGTATCTTTTTTATTTCTTAAATTACTCTTAATCTAATCTTCATTGTCAATTTAAAAATAAGGTGAAATAGAGATAATAAATAATACAAATTTTGGTAGCCACCGTGATTACTCCAAATTGAGTAACCTTGCTAACCTATTTTATCCCTTCCCGACTTTCCTCAAGTAGTAATTATCTTTAAGACAAAAAAATTTGCCTGGGTATAAAAATTTTTCCACCAAAAACTTGTTTTTTTTTTACTGATACCCACCAAACTTGTTTTTTTTTTTTTTTTTTTTTTTGACGGGTAACCTGTGATACCCACCAAACTTGTTACCTGGACGTTTGCAAGTTTTCCATTTCGTATATATAGACATAAAATTTACGTAAAATTCAAAGACTATTATTTAAGAAGATAAATTTGAGCGTATTCAATCATAAAAAAGACCAGTAGGATATCTTGGTTGATCGTTAGTTAGTCAAAATATTTATTAATTTTTACACATAGTATAACATAACCTGTTTGAATGATTTAGTTGATAAATGTTTACATAAAAGCCTACATCGAAACATGATAATCACCCTTCCATAAAAATAATATATATATTTAGAAAAAATATATATAAAAAACTAGACCATATTAAAAATTGAACCATCATGTATGGATATGAAAATAAATAATGATAATTTTCTACATAGAGTAAGCCAATATTCAATATTTTTTATTAAGAATTTTGTTTCTGGACTATATATGCTTTCTTTATATTGAAGACATAAATTAAGGAATGGATGTTAGTTGAAAAATTAATCTATACTAGATTAAAGTTCGAAATCATACACTTGAAATGCAATATTCTTGGAAAATGTATTACAAAATATAACAAAATTTGGAAATCCTATGTATTTTAGTATTATTTTTAATTTCTAATACATCAATAAAATCTCTCGGCCAATGGTCGGATGAAAAGCTAGTGTGATATAAATAACATTTTGTAATCAATAATATTGGTTGTAGACAAGGATTGAAAAAAGGTACCGTATCAGATCAGTGGATCGATTAGAAAAACAAAAGTGAAATTGATAGGTGGTATTCAGTCTATTTGAAATGATTGAACCATGATTAAACCACAGTTTCAGCAAAAATGATTTATTGTTGACTTTTCTGGTACAATCTCCGATACGATATTTCAATCGTAAGACATTTTCTTAGCGGCAAGTGAAACCCCATCATCATTAACAAAATGAGTAATGGTTGAAAAGATTAAAAGAAAAAAAAAAGCTCAGAAGTGTTGTAAAATGCACCGTTAATAATGCAAAGAGTGTTTGGCGAAAAATGAAGATATGACAAAGTTGGAATTCAGGACGGTTAGTTTTTTCCATAGAGAGTCAAGACGAGTGCCGGGTTGACGAAATTTTGGGTGGGTAGAAATTTTCTATTTTCTATTTTGAGTCTTTAGTCTTTACTCTTTGGAACGGGGAAGAAGAATGTGTTGTGGAAATGAAGTTTGGAAAATTTAGATATGAAATAGTGATGGTATCGAGGCTCACAACTCTTAAAATGGTGTAAAATTATATGTAAATATTTTATTCTGTAACAAATTTGAGAAATATAGTAGTTAGAAAGGTTTAGCCTTCCCTCACTATTTCAAATTCTCTGAGACCTAATTCAGATTTTTTGGCTCCGTTGCTAAATATGGATGACTTAAGAGTCCCTTCAGCAGCCAGACAACATTTATGGAATCCGGATGGGATGGTATGCCAATACTAAGAGAGTTGCAGTGTTGACCAACTTGTGTGCAATAATTCTGCTGACCTATGAAATCTCCATTTTTCCTTCAATCCTGTCATCTATCTTTAATTTTGGGTTTAGTGAATAGTTTGCTGTGGGGTGGTTTGTAGGCGGCCTTTTGGTCTCTATTATCAATTCAATAATGGCCACACAGTGAAGGGGATACCCCTCCCTCCCTCAGGCAGGTCATTTCAGGATGGTTAGCAGCTAGAGGAGTTAATGAGTTAGAGCAAAATGTAGTCTAAATCGCGTTTCTACGTAGAAATGTTTTGGTGATCTAGAAGCGTAAAATCGTAAGTTTTTAAAATTTTAAAGCATGTTTTTAACTACATCAGCTATAAAAGCATTGTAAAAAAAAAAGCTATAAAAGCTGTGATTTTACATAGAAGCGTTTTGGTGACCTGTAAAAATGTAAGTTTTTAAACTTTAAAACGCGATTTTGATTACATTGCGGACCGGAAGCTTATCTCAACCAAATCGATCATGGTGAAATCTGTAAGGATATGTCAACATGGTCAGGGAGTTGAAGGCAACCAGAACGGGAAATGTCTGGTTTTTGCCTTCCAGTTTGAAGACTTCAGCTTGAAGGCAAGCAGAATGAACGTCAATGTGATGATGAGTTCACTTAAAAAGGATCGGATAGAACAGTGGTGATCTGTTACGTTATCCAGTCTTTTTTTTCTTTCCATCCTTGGATTTGTGTACGATTGATCCTTATCAAACAACTGTTGAATAGGCAGTTCAGCTAGCCGCTATCAACAATTAAAGAGTCTCACAAGTAGGAGGAACTGTGAACAAGTGGGCTATATCCTATATATAGGGATGGCAATTTTGACCTAACCTATTCTACTCTAACTGTTTGGTCTGATTTGGGGTGGGTTCCACCCGCCCCGTAGACAGGGCGGGGCGGGCATAAGTACTCTCATCAACCTGATCTGCCTTGACAAGCCCCATTCTCGACCCGTTCTTGTCTAAATTACTTGTAATCTTAGTCAAATTACTTAGTATTTTCCTTTTATTACATCATATTTAAGCTATACTAAAGTTGTAAATTAGTGAAAAACCTCAATTTTTCAATAATTTAACTACTTTTATCATAATATTGTTTGTTTTCTTGGTCTTATAATAAAAATAACAAATTACATATTCATTGGGTCGACCTGCCCCGACTCACGACCCGTGATAAATTACCCAACTTGTCACGGGTAGGTCTGGGTACCAAGAAACCTGCCCCGGACCTGCCCATTGCCATTCCTGCCTATATGGTTGCTAGCCCTTTGTTCTCTTTCTTAATTCATATCCACCAGTTTTGATATTTCTTGTGAGACAAGGTGATGATACTGATAGCTAAAGCATAAAGCTGGAAGTATTAATTCCATTTTTCCAGCTGGGGATTGTGGAGGAAAGCCAATCTAGTAGCACAGTCTGTTTACATACGTATACGGTATAACCCCTCAACTACTTCCTGTATTCCATTATATTGTTGTCCTTTTTTGCCATAGAAGAAGAAGAAGGAAGACTTGAAACAAAATAGAGAGACTGAACCGTTTTGAAAGTTTGAATTCTGACCCAGTTTCTCATATTCAATGAAGAATTTAAAGCAGCTTGATGGGTTTCCAACTACACCACCAAAAGCCAAAGTTGGTGCTCGCATTTACTTCTTGCCAACCACCTCCCTCTCTCCTTACTTGCATATAATCCTCTGTCCCCTAACCACATCCTTTGAAGCTGCACAAACCAGTAAGTAAGTAAGTAAACAGTAACATTGGAGAAGCTCCCAGAATCATCATGGCTAGAGAGAGGGATCTGCTGTCCACAGAGATCGTCAACCGTGGGATCGAGTCTTCAGGTCCCAACGCAGGCTCCCTGACGTTCTCTGTTAGGGTTAGGAGGAGGCTGCCTGATTTTCTCCAGTCAGTGAACCTCAAGTATGTGAGGCTGGGTTACCATTACCTCATCAATCACGCCATCTACCTGGCCACCATTCCTGTTCTGGTGCTTGTGTTCAGTGCTGAGGTTGGAAGCCTCAGCAGGGAAGAGCTGTGGAGGAAGCTGTGGGAGGATGCTCGCTATGACCTCGCGACTGTGCTTGCTTTCTTTGGCGTTTTGGTCTTCACGCTCTCTGTCTACTTCATGTCTCGCCCCAGGTCCATTTATCTCGTCGATTTTGCCTGCTACAAGCCTCACGATGATCTCAAGGTAATGTCCGACAAGAATTTGATTGCAACGCTGGTAGCAGCAAATTATTCGATATTTCTGCTTTGATTGTATCAGTTTGTTGAGAAGTCACAGCTAGAGTGTAGGGTTTATCACTAATGAATAGAATAGAAACACACAATAACACTTTTGATCTTCTACATATGGGATCAAAGGCGTATTTTAAAAGACAGATTTTCAATTAATATTGTTTCTGCCCGAGCATGGTTTGGAAATTCAATTCATTTTTATTTCTAAAGATTTATATATTACATACCAAACATATGAATTCATTTGAGAATGAATTCTACACGGTAATTCATGTTAAAATGAAACGAATTCTCGATTCATTTGGTACCAAAGTCGAAACGGTCTGTTATATAACGTTCTAATTCCTCTGTTTTTATTATTATTATTATTATCTCATCTGACTGCTTGGGGCGTTCACCAGGTGACCAAGGATCAGTTCATAGACATGGCTCGCAGGACGGGCAAGTTCGACGAGGCGAGCTTGGAATTCCAGAAGCGAATTCTGCATTCCTCAGGGATTGGGGACGAGACCTACATTCCCAAGGCGATCATGGCTCAGGAGAACTGCGCGACGATGAAAGAAGGTCGCGCAGAAGCTTCAACGGTGATGTTTGGTGCGCTCGACGAGCTGTTTGAGAAGACGAGGATCCGGCCCAAGGACGTTGGCGTCCTGGTGGTGAACTGCAGCATCTTCAACCCGACCCCGTCCCTCTCGGCCATGATCATCAACCACTACAAGATGAGGGGCAACATCCTGAGCTACAATCTGGGAGGAATGGGCTGCAGTGCCGGGATCATAGCCATGGACCTGGCTCGCGACATGCTCCAGGCCAACCCGAATAGCTACGCCGTGGTGGTTAGCACGGAGATGGTTGGATACAATTGGTACTCTGGCAAGGACCGGTCGATGCTCATCCCCAACTGCTTTTTCAGGATGGGTTGCTCTGCCATCCTCATGTCGAATCGCAGGCGCGACTACACGCGTTCCAAGTACCGTCTCGAACACATCGTTCGAACCCACAAAGGTGCTGATGATCGCAGTTTCAGGTAAAAAAAAAATTTATGTTCATTTGGTAACCAATTGAAGATATAAACTTGCAATAAGTGCCAATTTTTACTTACCCACCACCCAAAGGGGAAAGGGAATTGTGACATGAGCTGGATGCTAACATTTACTCTAACCACGTGACATTAAATATTGAATCATAATCTGTTTTTTCTCCACTTGAATTGTGGAACTTTGGATGATGGGTGGGGGTTGTCCAAAAGTACAGAGCAGACTGAAGTTCTGCTTTAGTCACATGGGTATTATAGTTGTTGATGTTAGAGCACAGCTTCCTAATGGGATTAGTGGAAATTGTTTGCTGGGTTTTGCTGTCAAGGTGTATTTACCAAGAAGAGGATGAAGAGAAGCACAAGGGGCTGAAAGTGAGCAAAGATCTGGTTGAAATAGGGGGAGAAGCCTTGAAAGCCAACATCACCACTCTAGGTCCTCTGGTGCTGCCATTCTCAGAGCAGCTCCTCTTCTTTGCAACCCTAGTGTGGGGCTACTTGTTTGGTAGTAACCAGAAGAAGCACAGAGGCAGTGGCTGTGGCAGTGGAGGAGGTCATCCATACATCCCGGACTACAAGCTGGCGTTCGAGCACTTCTGCGTCCACGCTGCGAGCAAGACGGTGCTGGATGAGCTGCAGAGGAACCTGGAGCTGAGCGACGAGAACGTCGAGGCGTCGAGGATGACGCTGCACAGGTTTGGGAACACGTCGAGCAGCAGCATATGGTACGAGCTGGCGTACCTGGAAGCGAAAGAGAAGGTGAGGAGAGGGGACAGGGTGTGGCAGCTGTCGTTCGGGTCCGGTTTCAAGTGCAACAGCGTGGTGTGGAAGGCAATGAGGCGGGTGAAGAAACCTGCAAGGAATCCATGGCTTGATTGCCTTGACAGGTATCCTTTCCAAGCTTAGAAACAGCAAGCTGGTGAGGTGGAGTCGTGGAGAGGAGGGGAAACTTGCATGTGACAATTACTGCATCAAAGCATATTCTTGAGAAGGGCACACTCACACACATGGGTTTGGATTCGGTTTTCTTTTCGAAGTAGACTTGTTATGAGCAATTAAAGCTTGCAGCTCTTTGTTTTTTTTTTTTCTTTTCTGCCGTTGTTGGTTTATGTACCTTGGGTTTGGATTTAAAACAGGCAGTGGAGGGTATTTAGCAGAAGGGGGAACCTGCCCTTCTGGATATATCTATGAAAAAAATCCAATTTTAAAGTGATAGGGTGATCTTGCATTTTGGGAGGAACTGTAACTTTAATTGGGTGCTTCATTCAAGGTTAAAAAAAAGCTAGGCGTAAGGCGAGCGTTGAGACACTGTTTAGCGCCTAGCATGCTTAGGTGTTGCCTAGGCGTGCCTAAGCGTTAGATGTTAAGGTAGCAACATATCTCACACTTGCCTAGAATCACAAGTTTGTGAACCAATATTATAACATCTACCTCTCATTTCTAAACCTTCATCAACAAATAAAGTGTAAAATACAGTGTGGCGAAATGATAAAGGAAGAAACAACCTGATCCTTTTGAAAAACCAAATCCATAACTCGAACCAAAAATTGGTTTCTCCGGAGCAACCCAAACCATGTTTAAAAGTCAAACAAAAAACAACAACGATAATGTTTAATAATCTTAGGTGAAATGCCCTAAACACTTGGGTGACTTCAATCCCAAAGCAACAAAACACAAAACACAATCCTTGAGTTTCCTCGCATACTCATAAAGACATGAAATAGAGCCAGATATGATAAAAAGGTCCCATCTCATTACCCCGATCCTTCTAACACCTTCAAGTTTGTCGCGGCTGCTCTCCTCGGGTAACCTCCTCTTGATGGGTACATCCTCTTCCCCTCTCTACACTGAAGGGGTCAATCTCATCGTTACTTTTTAAGGTCGTTGCCCTAAGCAAAACCTTACTAACACATTCTTAGAAATTTTCTTCCTAGCACGAAAACCGTTCTCGCTTTCTGCCCTTAAATAATCATTTCTTCCTAGCTTATAAAAGATCTCTACTTCTATCCTGAACTCATATAAGTTCTCTACTTCTACCTCCGACTCCTATACACGACTTTAGGAACCACCGCACTATGTCTCGCCGTTCGGTGTCCCTACCTTGGCAATGGTACTGCGTTACGTATCGTCTTCCAGTAGTGACTCAAATCCTCGATTAACTGCTGCGTTACGTATAGTTGTCCAGCAGTAATCCGAACATCTACCGCGTCCAATATTGGCCCAACCGCCCAGGGGTTCATCTTACCACTAACCATACATTACAAGCATACATACCAAAACACGTTCCTCCACCTTAAGTAGGCGGTGGGATGCCTCACACATATAATCGCGTATAACTAAAAAATTAACGAAACTACTATAAGTAAATGCATAAACTAAAAGACCTCGACAGAGATTTTACCCCCTTGACACTCACCTTCAAAATATGACTCATCAATTCCTTACTCGAAAAAATCACTCCTTAGCCGTATTATCTCGGGAAACCTATTAATAAGAAGTTCATTTTCTTATACGACCTTTCTCGATTTAAAACCCCTTTTTATCTACCCACTCTCCTCAAAGTCCCACCCTCAAAACTCTTTCCAATGATCTCCTAACCTCCTTTAAAAATTTTCTATAAATAATCCCTTCATAAACCGACCATTTTTCTAATTAATTCCGCCTTGGGCAAATTTTTTACCTAACTTGAACCTTTTTAAGAATTCAGATAATAATTTTCTCATGTCTATCATGAGAACCTATATCCTGGAAAATTATCAAATCCTGAAAAAAAAACCTCGGCATGATTTTATTTAATTAAAATCAACATTCAAACAATTTCTAAAAGTAGTAATACATCTTCAAAAATCCCCAAATTAAATCAAAGGCATCTACCAGGCTTCCGTCAATTTATAAAATTATTACACCTAGAAAAACTACCTGCAGAGGCTTGAAACATTTTAAACATTTAAAAACACGTTTTGGAAATTTCCTGCAGCTTTAGTGACTATCCAAACTCTGTCACTAAAAGCTTGTGAAGTCCGTCGCAAAAATCCATAATTGCACCCTCATTAAAAATCACCAAATCGATCAATCTAACCTCAAGGGGTCGAGTTCCTTTACCTCTAGACGAATCTAAGACTATAGTAAAAAACGCTATAGTAAAAAATACGAGTTTTGGATTAGACTATCGGTAAATTTAGTTTGGGAATCATAAAAAGATTTGTGATCCTTACCTAGGAACATGAGAGGGATGAGGTCGAGATCGGGAAACAGAGAGGCAACGGTGGGGGAAGGGAACCGACGCTTATTATTATTATTATTATTATTATTATTATTATTATTGCGGAATTAAAGGGGATTGTGGGGAATGTGGGGTTTGGAGAAGTTTAGGGCCGCTCGGCCTTTTTTCCCCAACTATATTGTTTTTCTTTAATTAATAATTATTATTATTACTAGTAATCTACACTTGCAAACTTTTGTACATAACCGTCAATCTAACCGTTTATTCATCATGTTAGAACTTAAATCCATATCGGGGTGTTACATTTCTTCCACCCTTATAATAATTTCGTCCCTGAAATTGGAACTGTATGATAGGAACTGGAAATATAACTACTTGAATTTAAACTTATGGTGTTTGACTAAAACTTCTCAAGTTAGGATATAACAGTTCCCTCCCCCTTAATAAAATTTCAACCTTGAAATTTTGGTCAGAAATAATTAAATAGGCTTGGTGGGATTGTTATTGATTACCGAGTTTAAAACTAAAAGTACGTCTTTCAAAGAAAACAATCAATTAGCAATCTACGCTTAAAGCAAATACTTCCTCTTCACAGTCTCTCCATTTGCTCCACATGATCACATCAATGTGTTTGTTCATCCCCTCCATCGTCTCCACGCTCGCCCTCTATCCCTACCATGGAAAATACCCTCGGTTGCCCCCCTGTTGGAGGCCCCTGGTCTCCGCCCTGATCAGTGCGTCGAACCGCCCGGTGCGTCCTCCATGGCTCTAGAAGGAGCAGTTTGGCTGGCCGCCAGACTGAGGTCCCGTGTGAGTCCTTCCTCCTCCACCTCGGACAGACTGCTCAGACCGTGCTCTCCCTTGCCCGCCTCTCCAGGGACATTCTCTGGCAAAATGACCTAACTCGTTGCAGTAGTAGCAGACCCTGAGGGGGCTACCTACACACCCCTGAGTGATCCCTCGCACATTGGTTGCAAGGCCCCCTATTACTAAAGGTCTAGCCAGGTTGAATAGAATCGAGCCGGTCTGACTCTGATTACCCTCAAAGCTGACGGTAGCACTCGACCTCCTCCTGATCTGACAGGACTGGCCGGGCCACTCTGGCATGCTGCTTGCCTTCCTCTTACTTCCCTCTCACTACATCCCTTCTTCATGCACTGTTGTATCAGCTCTCTCCATCTGAAGAGTCGTCTGGTATATATCCTTCCGTTTGTTCAACATCAGCATGCTCAACTGCTTATTAAGCCCAACCTTCAGACTCTCTAGGTATTGGGTGCGCTGGGCCGCCACCTCTTGGAACTAAGGTCCTCCATAGGGCAGCAACTTCTCGAACATGGAGGTGTACTCTGCAACAACCTCCTTGCCCTCATGGCCCCATCTCTGCTTGATAAGCAAAAACCCCTCTTTTGGCCTAGTCAATAGGCCTTTGGCACATAGTGATCCCGGAACACCAACACCAGCTCTGGCAAAGTGATAGTTGGTGGGTCCTTCTGGCTAGCTAGCTGGGTGCACTACCAATCATATGCTGAATCCTGAATCAGGGATACTGTCAGTAGCACCCTGTCCTCATCATCTGCCGTCATTTCGCTCAACGTGCGCATGACCTTCGTCACCCATTTCTCCACTTCACTCGCATCTTTCGAGCGGTCCCCATCAAAATCCACCACTCCTCCCTCCGAAAAGCCACGCAATCCGGTGGTGGCCTAGCTGCCGCGTGATTAACATGGGCGTCTTTATTAGACCCTCAACTATTCTTCTTTTCATGTTGAGTATACTCGAGACTCTATAAAGCTCAAGAAATCCTTTTGAATGGTTTTGCCAAACCTTTACTTTAAATCCCAAGTTTTTCTTTTAAAAAACCTCGACGAAGATTTTATCCACTTTACACTCATCTTGAAAAGATAACTCCTCGATTCCTTACTCGAAGAAATCCTCCTTAGCCGAATTATCTCGTGAAACCTATTAATAAGAAGTTCATTTTCTTAGACGACCTTTCTCGATTTAAAATCCATTTTTGTCTATCAGAACCCCCTCTCCTCAATGTCCCACCCTCAAAACTCTTTCCAAGGATCTCTTAACCTCCTTTAAAAATTTTCTAGAAATAATCCCGTCTTTTTCTAATTAATTCTGCCTTGGGCGAATTTTTAACCTAACTTGAACCTTTTTAAGAATTCAGATAATAATTTTCCCATGTCTATCATGAGAACATATATTCTAGAAAAGGGTTATAGGTATACTATGTCCCTCTATTATGTCGTTTTATCAAACATGCCCCTATACTATTTTTTACATCAAACATACTCCTGTACTTTGGAAAATTATCAAACATGCCTTTCTGTTAGAAATTTCATTGAAAAAATAGTCAAACATGGTTGAATCGAGATTTAGACGACCCGATATCGACAAATGGGAGGGAAAATGTCAGTTTTGTCCCCTGTTTTATTTCTCTGGGTCTTGTCAAAGTGAAATTATTAGGATTATTTCGCTATACAAAAGAACCAAAAAAATTTATAAGGTGAAATTATTTGAGATATTTTAGACATTTGGCGGCGCAAACCAAAGTTTGGTCGTGGTTAACGGTTTATGGCTGAAAATTTTACAAAAGGGCATGTTTGATATTTTTTCCAAAGTACAGGGGCATGTTTGATGTAAAAAATAGTAGAGGGGCATGTTTGATAAAACGACATAGTAGAGGGGCATATTATACCTATTATCAAATCCTAAAAATGATCAAACCCTCTATAGGGGCATGTAATTAATATTCTAAAATCTCCAAATTAAATCAAATGAATCTCCTAGGCTTCCGTCAATTTATAAAATTGTTAAATCCACAAAAATACCTGCAGAGGCTCGAAACAATTTAAACATCTTAAAACATGTTTCTGGAAATTTTCTGTAGATTTAGTGACTACCCAAAATTTGTCACTAAAAGCCTGTAAAGTCCGACGCTAAAAACTCATAATTGCACCCTCACGAAAAATCACCAAATCGATCGATCTAACCTGAGGGGTCGAGTTCCCTTACATCTAGACGAGCCTAGGACTAGATTGGATGGCTCGACAAGTTGATCTCCTTGTTGATCGATATTCGAACTCTCAAACGTCACCGCAAACGCTATAGTACAAAAATACGAGTTTCATATTAGACTATC